TCCTCCTCTGCCCTCCTCTCCCTCTGTACCACCCTTTCCGTTCTCTTCTTCTTTTATCCCCCCCCAATCTTTCTTTCCTCCCTCGCTCCTCTACCACCCTCTCGTCCTTCTCCTCCTCCTCCTTCTCGCTTTTCTCTCCTGCCTCATTCATTCTCTCTCATAGCTAGAGTAGGTAAATCTATTCACCGACCAGGGGCTGATTCACGATTTTGTGGTGAGTGATTCGCAGCATTGCATAGTGGAGTATGTCGGCTGTACCACCTGATGGTTGAAATCCTGCCAGGGGATATGAAGTCATGGTTTCGAATTGAGTCAAGGAACGCCTGCGGGTGAAGCTTTGCACGTACAAGGGTGTGACATTACGTCGCGCGGCTAATCATTACATGCATGATGTATGGATCTCCATCGTTACCACACATGCATGCCCCTTCAGCCTCAGTATTATTAGTTGTGCGAGGATGGCCCACACACATGTGCTGGCTAGTCCCTCGCGTGGAGGAAGATATGTGGCAGATACGGGTAGTGCGGCGTATCCAGGTTCACCTTGAGCGAGTTCAACGCAATATTTGTGATCATCGAGCTCACACCTTCGAACAGCCGCAGGAACATCTTCATATCCAAGGGCCCCCTTTTGATGGCCAAGGGCGGCGTTGCGCATGTGTTCGCACAGGCACCACGAATGTGTGCCCCTTCTGCCTCATCGTGTTTAGCTGTGGGAGGACGGCCCAGAGATATTTGTTGGTCAGCGTCGCTCGTGGAGGAGATCTGTGGATGCATCTCGGTACCACGGTGTTCGAGTGCACCATGCTCGAGTTGAACACCATCTCTGGGACCATGGGGCCCATATTCTCGAACAGCCACATGAACATCTTCATACACAAGCTCTACGTCCGCCTCGGTATCGATACGGCATTGGGTTTGGCGGCCCCAGCCTGGGGTCTCCAGAACGCCGACCCAGAGAGGCAACGGCGTCGCGAGATGAGTGACCTTCTCGGAGCTAGCTCGGCACACGTCAACGTGTAAACTAGACTGGCGCTCACGAGCGCGGCGTTGATCAGAGACATCCCAGGAATGACGTGGAACACTTGCCTCATCGACGCCAAATTTCCAGTGGCCGTCGCCATGTTCCAGCACCGCAAGTGCTACCTCGAGGAAACGAAACATACCAAGGACGACCCCGAGAAGCAAGCTCAGCTTGGCCCTCCCTTCGATCCAGTACCCGCAACACATTCGAGAATCTGCAGCCTCACGACGCCGAGATGCTCAAACAACTCTGGCTGGAGATCCATCGGGAGGGCAGGCCGCCAATGGACCTGCTGGGTATCATTCTCTAGTGCAGGCACAAGCCGCCGATGCAACAGACGGGCATCGCATCGCTTTTGAATCTAGACGGCATCCGCTGCGATGCACAGGACACGGGTCGGCGGCGAGCGAGGGAGGCGAGCGAGAAGGAGAGGGCCTTCCCAGAAGGCGGCGGGACTTCACGGTAGCCCTCTGGCCTTCTGAGCGGTTCTCTATGTCTTCGGGGAAGGCCCAAAACACTTCTCGGAAGGCCGGAGGACTTCCGAGCCTTCTGAGAAGGCCCGCCACTTTCGGGGGAGCGTAAGACCCGGGTTTGCCAGGACTCGGGTTCGCCATCGTTTTTTGACGACCGCGCCTCGGATTTTGACGAGGAGGAGTTTCGTGGGATGTCTGCAGCGGGAGGCCTCGTCAAAATGCAGGCTCGGCCTCGTCATTTTTTTGACGACCTCGTCGGGGATTTCCGAGTCCCCCGTACCCGGGTCTTACGTCTCCCCGACAAAACACTTCTCAGAAGGCCGGGGGACTTCCGAGCCTTCTGAGGAGGCCCGCCCCTTCTCGCTTCCCCCCCAGGGCTCGCCGCCGAATGGCCAAAAGCGCGTCCTCCTGAAAAGCGCGGCAGCGAGGGAGCCCAGACCCCCGGAGCTGCCCGAGGCGCCCGGGGGCGGGCCCTCCTCGAAGGGGGCGAGGCAGGGCGGAGGCGAAGGCGACTGAGCAGCCGCAGCCGAACGAGTGGCGCCCTGACGCAGCACCCGAGCAGCCGACGCACGAAATCGCCACAGCAGCCGAACGCAAACAGCACCAAGACCGCACGCAGACGCACGAAGGCGTCGCAGCCGGCCGCGCAAGCGCCGTCGCCGCCGCCGCCGGAGCGGGCCTCCAGGTCCCGTAGCGGCGGGGACGGGCTGCGTGTGGGGTGGTGTGAGGGGTGGGGGGGGGGTTGGGGGGGGGAGGGTGGGGGAGAGGGGGGGGCGGGGGGGACGGGGGGGAGGGGGAGGGGAGGGGGGGTTGTGGGGAGGGGGGGAGAGGGTGGTGGTGGTGGGGGGAGAGGGGGAGTTGCTGGGGGGGGGGGATAAGGTAGGGGTTCAGGTGTTGATGGTTCCTTTTGTAGTGGTTTTTTTATTTTTTGTTTTTTTTTGTTTTCTAGCCTATATTTTTTTTAGTTTTATTTTGTTTTTTCTTTTTTTTTTTTTGTGTTTTTTTTTTTTTCATATTCTTTTTACTTTCCCCAGGACGCACATCCAGAAGAGGAGCTGCATGTCGTCAGCTACAGGCTGGGCCTCCTAGATCTGGGGGAACGAGCCACGAGATAAACACAGAACAGCTCGGGTGTCCGCGCGGGATTCTCGGATCGGCGCTGGACCCCCCCTAGCGGCGCCTCCAGCGCCGATCCGAGAACCCCGCGTGGACCCCCGAGCTTTCACGTTTATGTCGTTGTTTGTTCCTCTATAGATGGGGTCGGAGTAGATGGGGTGGAAGGATGGTGTCGCATCGCCGATGCATCGGCGATGCATTGCCGATGCGGCTCGATGTGGAGCCCGATTTTCTCCGCGCCGACGTCGCCGATGCAGCGGCGATGCGGCGCGATCCTCCGACCCCATCTACTCCGACCCCATCTGCGAGGACTCTATACATATCGCTAGCTACAGTGAGAGGCTTTTGCTCTTTGTCCCACCTCTCCACGGTGGCGGTGCCCACCGCGTCAAGCGCCATCTCGAGGCGCACGAGGAAGTGGGGGGGGTGAGTGATCCAGGGAGTCAAGTGTGGGAACCTAGCAATCACCTCCTTTTCCAAGCTTTTCTAATAGCTTTCAGCCCCTGCCCCCTTCTCCGCACAGCGCCGTGGTTCCTTTTCCTCCTTCTCCTCTTCTTCGCGCTGCCCCCCTCGGGTGGTGTAGGATGTTAGTGCTGGTCGCTTGGGGCCACCAGCGGGTTGAACGCAGCGCCGCTTGCCGCTTTCGCTCTCCAGGGCACTCTCCCGTTTCTCCGCTTCTCCCCCCCCTCCTGACCCTGCTCGCGCACGGGAGAGTTTCTTGTGCACTGCTTTCTCTGCGTTCGGGTCGACGTCGGCGAAGCGAGCGAACCTTCGGGCGATTTCGCTGCCGGAAAAAGCAAGCTTAAACTCCTCGCCCCTCCCTCTGGCTTCCTTTGCCCGTTGGCTGGCCCTCGCTGGCCCTCGTCTCGCTGTTCAGGTGGGGCGGGGGGGCAATGGAGAGGGTGGCGAGCTTTGGTTTCCTGCGGGCGGCACGAGGACGTAAAGGTGGCCTTTCCAGCCTAGTCAGCAGACCTGGATGCCATTCATCGCCCGGGGGCAGTCTTCTTGCCAGCGCGGCAGACCAGCGAAGTTCCCTGCTAGGTCCCCGGGGTTTCCTGGCAACCTGGTTCGCCGGCCCAGGTGTCCAGGACACGCGTGGGCTTCCCACGAGGGCGATTGGATTTCATATTTCCAACGCTCGGTTCGGCTCGGTTCCTCCATCCTCCCTTTTCCCTCCTCCTGACTCCTCCCTTTTCCTCTTCCCCCTCGTCTCCCTTCTTGATACCTCGTCCATCTTCCTCCCTCTCTCCTCTCTCCATCCTCTCCTTCTCCTCCTCCCTCGTCGTCCTCCTGCTTCTCCTCCTCCTTGTCCTCGTCGTCCTCGTTGTCGTCGTCGTCGTCGTCGTCGTCGTCGTCGTCGTCGTCGTCGTCGTCCTTCTCCTGCACCTTCTACTCATCCAGCTCGTCCTCGTCGCTATCGTTGCCCCCCTACTCCTCGTCGCCCCCCTACTCCTCGCCCTGCCTGCCCCCTGCCTCTTCTCTTCGTCCTCCCGTTCGTCCTCCTCAAGCCATTTCATTTTTTCCGTCGTTTTCATCCTCCCCCTTCACACCGTCTTCCTCATCCTTCCAGGCGTCATGGTCCCATCAACCACTTCGTTTTGCTGCGCCGTTTTTGTTGTCGCCCCCCCCCGCCCCGTTTCGGGTCAAGGTTTCTGCAAGGTTATCAGAATGTGCAGGGCTTCACTGCAGAGTTCTAGCCACCACGTCATCGGCCTCACCCTTCTCTTCATGGTCCTCATCTTGTGCATCCCTCCTCCTGCTCGTACTCCCTTTCCCTCCTCGGCTCCTCATTCTCCCCCTTCTCCTCCTCCTCCCGCCTATCCCTTCCCCTCCTATTTGTCCTGCCCCTCCCGTTCTCCCTGTCCCTCATCTTCTCTATCCCCCTCCTTCTCCTCGTTTCCGTGTTCCCTTGCACTTCTCTTTCTTCTCGTCGTCTTTCTTCCCTCCCCCTTCCTCCTCCTCCCCTTCCCCCCTCCCCCCCGTCTCTCCTCCCGCGGTGCTGCTCCCCCTCACCCCCGTCCCACTTGCTCCCCCCTGCTCCTCCCGCTCCCCTGGTGTCACAGCCCAGAGTCCTGAGCTGGAATGGGCAATTGTCAGGAGGGGAAAAACACACAGACCCACTTAATCGTCGATTCCCGAGAAAAAGATGGGAAAGTATGGGAAGTAGGGGGTAAGATAATAACCCAGAACATGTTGGAACATACGGGACATCCTTTTATTTGTGTGTATTTATTTATGTGTCCCAGGGCCCCTTGAAATTGTCTCCCAGTCCAGTGGTCAGTTCAAGTGGTAAGGGCACGTGCGTCCGCAACGGGGTTTGTTCCGCTCCACTGCACAGCCCGACGCGCTTGAAGGTGTTGATCAAGGCGTCCAAGCTGGTCCCCACGATGCTCCTGTCGGCGCTGGTGGGGAACGGCCGCGTCTACGGGCGCACCGAGTGCCCCGCCCGCCCCCATGGGAAGGCACCTCGGGGCTTCCTCGGCGGCCTTCTGGGGCCATGGGCGGCCTTCAGGAGAAGGGCTCCTGGTGGCCTGTTGGCTGCCCAGGCAGCGGCGCTGAGGGAGGCGGGGGCTTCGTCGTCGTCGTCGTTATCGTCGTCGTCCTCGTCCTCGTTGTCGTTGTCGTCGTCGTCGTCGTCGTCGTCGTCGTCGTCGTCGTCGTCGTCGTCGTCCGTCGTCTTCCGTCGTCGCCGTCTTCGTCGTCGTCGTCTTCGTCGTCGTCGTCGTTGTTGTCGCCTTCTCTGCCGCCGCCGCTGCCGCCGCCGCCGCCCGCGCCGCCACCGCCGCCGCTGCCGTCGCCGTCGTCGTCGTCGTCGTCGTCGTCGTCGTCGTCGTCGTCGTCGTCGTCGTCGTCGTCGTCCGCCGTCGCCGTCGCCTTCGCCGTCGCCGTCGCCGTCGCCGTCGCCGTCGCCGTCAGTCGTCGTCGTCAGCTTCGTCGTCGTCGGCGTCGTCGTCGTCACCGCCGTCGTCGTCCTCGGCGGCGTCGTCGACGTCGTCGTCGTCGTCGTCGTCCTAGTTGTCGTCGTCGTTGTCGTTGTCGGGGTCATCGTCATCGTCGTCATCCGTCGACCGTCGTCTGTGGTCCGTCGTCAGTCGTCGTCGTCGTCGTCGTCATTGTCGTCGTCGTCGTCGTCGTCTGTCGTCGCCGTCGCCGTTGTCGCCGCTGCCGCCGTCGCCACCGCCGCCGCCGTCGTCGTCGTCGTCGTCGTCGTCATCGTTGTCGCTGTCGTCGTCGTCGTCGTCGTTGTTGTCGTGTTCTTTGTCTGTTGACCGTTGTCGTCTCCCTCAACGCCGTCGTAGTGGTTATCGTTGTCGTCGTCGTCGTCGTTGACGGCGTCGTCCTTGTTCGGTCGTCCGTCGTCCGTCGTCGGTCGTCATTGTGTCGTCGTCGTCGGTCGTCGTCGTTGTCGTCGTCGTCGTCGTCGTCGTCGTCATTGTCGTCCGTTGTCCGTTGTCCGCCGTCCGTCGTCAGTTGTCAGTCGCCCGTTGTCCATCGTCCGTTGTTCGTCGTCTGTCGTCGTCGTCGTCGTCGTCGTCGTCGTCGTCGTCGTGGTCGTCCGAGGTCGGTCGACCGTCGTCCGTCGTGCGTCGTCGTCGTCGTCGTTGACTTCGCCGTCCGTCGTCGTCGTCGTCTTCGACGTCGTTCGTCGTCGTCGTCGTCGTCTTCGTCGTCGTCGTCGTCCGTCGCTCGTCGTCCGTCGCCCGACGTCGTCGTCGTCGTTGGCGTCGCCGTCCGTCGTCGTCGTCGTCTTCGACGTCGTTCGTCGTCGTCGTCGTCTTCGTCGTCGTCGTCGTCGTCGTCGTCCGTCGCTCGTCGTCCGTCGCCCGTCGTCAGTCGTCCGTCGTCTGTCCCAAATCATTCGTCGTCCGTCGTCGGTCGCCGTCGTCGTCGTCGTCGTCGTTGTCGTCGTCGTTGTCATAGTCGTCACCGTCGTCGTCGTCGTCGTTGTCGTCGTCGTCGTTGTCGTCGTCGCCGGTCCGTCGTCGCCGTCGTCGTCGTCGTCGTCGTTGTGGTCCGTCGTCGCCTTCGTTTTCGCCGCCGCTGCCACCGCCGCCGTCGTCGTCGTCGTCGTCGTCGTCGTCGTCGTTGTCGTCGTCGTCGTCATCGTCGTCCTAGTTGGCTTCGCCTGTGGTCGTCCGTCGGCCGTCGTCCGCCGGTCGTGCCCCGTCGTCCGACGTCCTTTGTCCGTAATCCGCCGTTTTCGTCGTCCGTCGTCGTCGTCGTCGTCGTCGTCGCCATCGACGCCATCGTCGTCGTTCCGTCTCCGTCGTCATCATCGTCGTCGTCGTCACCGTCGTTGTCGTCGTAATCGTCGTCGTCCTCGTCGCCGTCGTCGTCGTCGTCGTTGTCGTCGTCACCGTCCGTCGTGGTCGTCTTCGTCGTCGTCGTCGTCGTCGTCCGTCGTCGTCGTCGCCGAAGTCGTCGTCGTCGTCGTCGTCGTCGTCGTCGTCATCGTCGTCTGTCGTTGCCGTCGTCCGTCGTCGTCGTCGTCGTCCGTCGTCGTCGCCGCCGTCGCCGCCTTTGCCATCGCTGCCGCTGCTGCCACCGTCGTCGTCGTCGTCGTCGTCGTCGTCGTCGTCGTCGTCGTTGTCGTCGTCGTCGTCATGGTCGTCGTCGTCGCCGCCGTCGTCGTCGTCGTCGTCGCTGTCGTCGTCGCTGTTCTGTCGTCCGTCGTCGTCGTCATCGTCGTCCGTTGTCCCTCGTCCGTGGTTCGGTGTCCGCTGCCCGTTGTCCGTCGTCCGTCGTCAGTCGTCGGTCGCCAGTCGTCCGTCGTGCGTCGCCCGTTGTCGTCGTTGTCGTCGTTGTCGTCGTCATCGGCGTCGTCGTTGTTCGTGGTCGGTCGTCCGTCGTCCGTCGTGCTTCGTCTTTGGCGTCGTCGTCCGTCGTCAGTCGTCGGCCGTCCTCGTCGGCGTTGTCGTCGTCCATCGTCGTTGTCTTCGCCCGTCGTCGCCGACGTCATCCGTGGTTCGTCGACGGTCGTCCCTCGCGCGTGGATCGTTGTCGTCATCGTTGTCGTCATCGTCCCTCGCGCGTGGATCGTTGTCCGTCGTCGTCGTAGTCGTCATCGTCGTCGGCCGGCGGTCGTCGTCGTCGTCGTCGTCGTCTTGCGTCGTCGTCGTTGTTGTCGTCTGCCGTCTTGTGTCGTCGTCGTCGTCGCCCGTCGTCGTCGTCGTCGTTGTCGTCGTCGTCGGTGTCGGCGTTGTCGTCGTTGTCCGTTGTCCGTCGTCTGTCGCCAATCCTCCGTCGTCCGTCGTCGTCGTCGTCGTCGTCGTCGTCGTCGTCGTCGTCGTCAGTGGACCGTGGTCCGTCGTCCGGTGCCCGTCGATGTCGTCGTCGTCTGCCATCGACTGCCGTTGTCGTCGTCGTCGTCGTCGTCGTTGTTGCCGTCGTCGTGGGTGTCGTCATTGTCAACGTTGTCCGTTGTCCTCCGTCTGTCGCCAATCGTCTGTCGTCCGTCGTCCGTCGTCGTCGTCGGCCGTCGTCGTCGTCGTCGTCGTCGTCGTCGTCGTCGTCGTCGTCGTCGTCGTCAGTGGTCAGTGGTCCGTCGTCCGGCGCCCGTTGTCGTCTTCGTTTTCATCGCCGTCGTCCGTCGTCGTCATCGCCCGTTGAATTCGTTCTCGTCCGTCATCGTCTTCGTCGTTATCGCCGTCGTCCGTCGTGTCGGCCGTCTTCGTCGTCGCCCGTCGTACTCGTTCCGTCGCCCGTCGTCCGTCGCACGTTTTGCGTCGTCCGTCATTGTCGTCTTCCGCCTTCGGACGTCGTCGTTGTCGTCGTCGTCGTTGTCATCGTCGTCGTCGTCTTCGTTGTCGTTGTCGTCATTTTTCGGTTTATCGTCGTCTGTCGCCGGTCGTCTGTCGTCCGCCGTCCTTCGTCGTCGTCAGCCGTCGTCGTCGTCGTCGTCGTCGTCGTCGTCGTCGTCAGTAGTCCGTGGTCCGTAGCCCGGCGCCCGTCGTCGTCTTCGTCGCCATCGCCGTCGTCCGTCGCCGTCGGCCGTCGTCGTCGTCGCCCGTCGTGCGTCGTCCGTTGTCGTTGTCGTCGGCGTCGATGTCGTCGGCCATCGTCATCGTCGTCGTCTTCGTCGTCGTCTTCGTCGTCGTCGGCCGTCGTGATGGTCGTCGGCGGCGGCGTCTTCGTCGTCGTCGTGTAATTCTTCGATCGGTTTTTGCCCGGGATACCACAGGCACCCTCGTCAAAGGAGGCGTCGTCGTCGTCGTCGTCGTCGTCGTCGGTGGGCCGTGGTCCGTCGTCCGGCGCCCGTCGTCGTCTTTGTCGTCTGCCGTCGTCGGCCGTCGTCGTCGTCGTCGGCCGTCGTTGTCGTCGTTGTCGTCGTCGTCGGTGTCGTCGTTGTCGTCGTTGTCCGTTGTCCCTCGTGTGTCGCCAAGCATCCATCGTCCGTCGTCCGTTGTCGTCATCGGCCGTCGTCGTCGTCGTCGTCATCGTCGTCCTCGTCGTCGTCGTTGTCGTCGTCGTCGTCAGTGGTCCTTGGTCCGTCGTCCGGCGCCCGTCGTCGTCTTCGTCGTCATCGCCGTCGTCCGTCGTCGTCGGCACTCGTCGTCGTCGCCCGTCGTACTCGTTCCGTCGCCCGTCGTCCGTCGCCCGTCGTGCGTCGCTCGGCGTCGTCGTCGTCGTCGCCGTTGTCGTCGGCATTGTCGTCGTTGCCGTCGTGTTCGTCGTCGTCGGCGTCGTGGTGGTCGTCGGCGGTGTCTTCGTCATCGGTGTCGTCGTCGTCGTCGTCGTCGTCGTCGTCGTCGTCGTCGTCGTCGTCGTCGTCGTGTAGTTCTTCGATCGATGTTTGCTCAGGATACCCCAGGCGCCTCAATCAAGGGAGGGGTCGCCTTCGTCGTCGTCGTCGTCAGTGGGCCGTGGTCCGTCGTCCGGCGCCCTCCGTCGTCGTTGTCGTCTGCCGTCGTCGGCCGTCGTCGTCGTCGTCGGCCGTCGGTGTCGTCGTTGTCGTCATCGCCGTCGTCCGTCATCGTCGGCCCGTCGTCCGTCGTCGTCGTCGCCCGTCGTACTCGTTCCGTCGCCCGTCGTCCGTCGCCCGTCGTGCGTCATCCGTCATTGTCGTCTTCCGTCTTTCCGGCCATCGTCGTCGTCCTCGTCGTCGTCGTCGTCAGTGGTCCGGTGTCCGTCGCCCGTCGTCCGTCGCCCGTCATCGCCGTCGTCCGTCGTCGGCCGTAATCGCCGTCGTTCGTCATCGTCGGCCCGTCGTCCGTCGTCGTCGCCCGTCGTGCTCGTTCCGTCGCCCGTCGTCCGTCGCCCGTCGTGCGTCGTCCGTCATTGTCGTCTTTCATCTTCGGCCGTCGTCGTCGTCGTCGGCCGCCGTCGTCGTCGTTGTCGTCGTCGTTGTCGTCGTTGTCGTCGTTGTCCGTTGTCCGTTCGTCGGTGTTGTCGTCGCCGTCGCCGTCGTCGTTGTCGTCGTCGGTGTTCGTCGTCTGTCGACGATCGTCCGTTGTCCGTAGTCGTCGGCCGTCGTCGTCGTCGTCGTCGTCGTCTTTGTGTAGTTCTTCGATCGGTTTGCTCAGGATACCCCAGGCGCCCTCGTCAAGGGAGGGGTCGTTGTCGTCGGCGTCTTCAGTGGACCGTGGTTTGTCGATGGGCACCCGTCGTCGTCTGCCGTCGTCTGCCGTCTTCGGTCGTCGTCGTCGTCGGCCGTCGTTGTCGTCGTGTAGTTCTTCGACCAGTTGCCCAGGATTTCCCCCTGCGCCTTCGCCAAGGGAGGGGTCGGTAAGGGCATGGCTTTGCCATCTCCTGCTGCGAGGTGCTCCGCGCCGCTCCCTCTCAAGAGTCTCGTTGGGGGGCTGGCTGTCTGTCGCGGGGCAGGAGTCTGCCAGCGTCCGTCGACCTCGTGGTTGCATGCAGTGGGGGCCCATGCCAAAAAGCACCCTGCTTGCCTTCAGGGTGCCCTGGGTTTCTTGGGTTTCGATGGTTTTGCTATGAGAAGCGCGACGTTCCCACACGCAAAATCAATGGACGTCCTGGGGTCTCAGGGTTGGGTTTCTGGTGGAAGGTTCTGCGGACCGGCCTCCTCTGTAATGTCGTGCGCCAGAGGGGGGAGGTTCTGGTGCGGTTCCTCGTTCTCAGGTGGAATGAAGGGTTCGGCTTGGCCTCGCCCGGGAGGGAGGGAGGGGCGGAGGAGGAGGAGGAGGGGAAGGAGGAGGAAGGTCGAGGAGCCGATGGAGAGGGGATGCGGGAGGTGGAGCGAAGAGCGGAGGAAGATGATGAAAAATAAGGGCAGGGGTTGGGACGGCGGCGGCAGCGACGGCGGCGGCGTGCGCGAGGTATTTGGCCGCGCTGGTGCTGTGCGTGG